ATGATCGACAACAACAAATCAAAAAGAAACTTGATAGAACAGCAACATTTCCAATGGCTTCAAATGAATTCAATGTAGGATATCCTATTTGAGTTTTTTTAATTCTATACTTATTACTGGTTTTATTTTTTTAATTAAAGAATTCAAACTATGTAACACAAGCAGATGTAAATGAAATATCTACCGAATCTAAAGGCATACAACGACCCATTCAACAGCAAGTACAACAAAATATTAATTTATCAGTAACGAATGAAGGATCTTATTCATGGCAACCAAGTCATTTTAATCATGAACGAAAAGATGTTGAATCATGGTGGGCTAATCAGTTTTAAATGTTAATTTAATGCATTCAAGAATAAATAAATATGTACTTTCGAGTCGATTATATTCAACGTATTACGATACTTTATATACTTGTGTTTCGTCTTTTATTATAGATTTACATATATCATATGTACAGGGTTGTTCAAAAGTGATCTAAAAGTTTTTGATTACGGATAACTTTTGATAGGAACAAGATAGGGAGCTGTAGTTTTCACTGTTCGAAAGAGAAGACCAATTTCCCAGTAGCTACCGGGACTTATTTTTACGGAATTTATTGGGATTTTTCAATAAGTCCGTAAGCACTTTGAGATAAATCCCATACAGTTCCTCGCTACATACAGAATGTGGATGAGGGTGTGGGTGTGAGTATGGGTGTGGGGGTGGGTATGGGTGTGAGTGTGGGTGTTGATGTGAGTATACTTGGATAGCATCAATATTAATATATCAGAATAAATCCTCAATAAAGAAATAAGTCCGCTAGAAAGAATAAATCCGGAAAAAATAAGTCCTGGTAGTCCCTCAGTCGTTCATCTCTCTCTTAGTTTATGACTCGAGATCTGAAAGATTTTATTACTTTATTTTTGTCGTAGATCATTGGACACTGTAACTTTCTTAATGAAGTAATAAAATTTCATTTTAAATGTCATTAATCTTTTTATATACTTCTCTTTGTATAACCTTTCAAAGGTGATATTATTATTCCTGAGACCAATAAATTCTTTTTTGAGTTAACTACAGAAATTATAAAAGTGAAAGAATTAAATGTACATAATTGTATTCTCGAAAGTCTTACATGATAATTCTACCATCAGAATTAAGAGAAAGACTTTCTTATATTGTTACAATAACATTTTACAAGGTACCAAAATCTTTTAAGAAACATCCAATATAAGTTTCTCTAGTGATTCTGACACGACTATTTTGTTTCATCTCAAAATATCAGACAACATTACAAGTACGATCTTGTGAAATCTTAACATATAATTAGTTGTCTTCGCTCAAGTAAGTTACTTAGGAAAATATTCACGAAGATTAAATTCATCCTTCTTATACATTAATATGAAAAATTAGTAAAAGTTTTTGATAAATCTTTGATATCGATGTTAAGTCATAATTGAAGATTTTTCGATTTTTTTTTAATAATTTTATTTAGGTTTAGAAGCAGCAGCAGCTACAGCTGTTATTATGACCCGTTGTTGTGCATTCAGAGAGCAGGAAGAACAGCCTATTAAATTCAAAGTTGATCGACCATTTTTATTTTTCATTCGTGAAAATCGACAAAATATTGTTTTATTTAGTGGCAAGTTTGCTTCACCACCAACAGCTTCATAAATAAACCATAACCATGTTTTTTTCATATATCATCTAACGGACATTTATCGTTAATAGACAAAAGAGGGTGTGAGTAAAGGAAAGATCTATGCCTATATCCACACACTCGCATTCGAGATTTTTGCTTCATTTGTTCAAATTTTAATTTATCCTTTGCTAAATTGGCACGATATATATTTTCTGCCTTTCGGCCTTTTACCATTTTTAGCAATAAATACTTGAGTACTAACAATTCTATTTAACTAATTTATAAGTAAAAAAAACAATTTCTTGAATAAAATTCTGCAAAAGATTTTTGTTTTACAAAATAAGAAATCGAATTGTCTATAGACTAGAACAATAATTTGCTTGAGAGATTGATAAATTTATTTTAATTGTAACGGTTTTACTAATTCTCTAATGAAAATTAATTCTACAAATATCTAACAGTAGAAGTCATTACATATCAATAAAAGTTATCTTTGAATAACTCATGAGTACTTGGAAGTTTTTATTTAAAAGCATTTGTGAAAAATGGTCATCGTGTTACGGAAAGAATTTTTTTCTTGAAAATATGTGCATTAGATAACTCATGAAACGTTAGCTTTTCACACCAACAATAGAAAAAAAAACAATAATTCTTTTTGGTTACACGATGATGTTATAAATATTGTCTTTTCCTCGCACTCTCTGTACAAAAGTAGAAAATCAATTCTTTTGCTAGTAGATGCCTTTATCATACCATACAATTAATACATAATTGTCAATCGCGTATATATTGAGAAGTTTCAGTAAAACATTTAGTAAGTTAAATGCGATTTAAAACATATATGACCGTACAAAACTAGAGGGTGTGGGTATGGATTTGACTGTCGATGTTTGCTATTCTTCTTCACCTACACTCACGCCCATACCCACACCTACACCCACCCACACCCGCACCCCACACACCCTATATCCACACCCACCAACGCCCCACCCCACCCCACATCCACACCTACACCCACACCCATAGGCCAACTCAGCTTTTCATGCTGATTTCAAATATATGATTTTTTCAAACACGAAGCCGAACAGTTTGAATGAAAATGAATAAAAAATGAGGGAAACAAATCCAATTTCTGGCGTCCTACAGGACTGTGTCTTTGATTTGACTATCTATTCCACACCCTAAACTCAATGTAATAGCATAGTTTTGTAGAGCTTCAAACGAGCTATTGAAGAGTACCTTATTCAAGTAGGATCTATATTTCTTTAGCACCTTAATATGGGATTTTCTTATGAATACTCATAAAATGTTGCATAGTAGTGTGCAAGATCATCTCAAGAAAACAATGAAAGAAGAATATTTTACCAGACTATTTTATATCATTCGATAGCGAAAAGAATAAGCTTTTATTTGATATTTAACTCAAATTAAAAGATGGTAATAGAGTCAATATACTTCATGGGAACACAGCATATTGCAACTGACTAGGTAATAGACAATATCAATATTTTTGCTCCCCCTTCCCTCCCCCCTCCTTACATAGCTATAACTAAGGCTAATTCACTAATTCGAACATAAATCGACTATTTGAAAAATATAAAACTCGATTTCAGGAGGCAGTCAATTTCATCGATTAACGATCCCTCTCCTTTGAACAATCAAGAGTTCAAACGTAACTTGTGACATTTTACTATCGTAGAATGATATGAAAGAGAAAATAATGTCAGTAAATTTTTTATAAATACTACTCTAATAAGCGCGATCTCTTTGAAGTTAAAGTTCCAGATTAGTTTATTGAGTATTTCTTTTGAAAAGTCCAGAAATATGAACTAGAACCGTCAGAAAACAGTAGTAGATAAACATTTTGACCATCTAATGCACGAAAATGCAAACCGGTTGCAATGCGCTATATACTAGAAGATAGAGCAAGCGACGTTCTACAAAACCTACTAGACCACAATTCATCCAAATTTGGAAGGAGTTTTTTATTAGAAGATAAAGTATGTGTTGCAGTGAACTTTTTGTGATCCAATTAAAAATTTTCGTTAAAAAATGGAAACATTTTGAATCATATATGGTTCGATAGAGCTGAGTACGGGCTATCAGAATATATATAGAATGTTCCATTTTGTTCTTGAAATAAAAGAGAAAATGTTCTCGCAAAAACGAGAACTTTTCACTTTGACCATGATTTTCCGGAATTTTTGAAAACTGTATTTTGCTCATTTCGACTCTAATCCATAATCAAACCCATAATAATTTATTACCAAAATGATCAGCTCATTGAGCTCTACAAACTCTGAAAATTTCAACCAATTCTGAGAAAGTCATGTATAAAGTGGTACGTTTCCCATGGATTTACCCTTAATAATAACAATATCCATATTGAAAATTTTCGATAAATCATGTTGTTTCTCTAACTTGTTGTGTGATACGAACTATTGTACTATTTCTAACTAAACTTGTAACCTTTGTTTTTGTTCTGTCATGATCGAAAAGTACCATATGGAAACAAATTGTGTCAAGTATTTAATGCATAAAGAGGAAACAGATGTTTTTAATTGTAAAAAACGTTTAACAGAAACATTGGTATTTAAGAAAGAAACGAAAACATTTGATTGATTCTATTTGCTTGTAAAAAAAAACATTCTTGAAGAATATACTGCATACGCTTTTCTTTCACATATAGTGATGTGCAAAAGTCTTGACTTACTCTATCCTTTCAATTTATTTGATTTTAATCAATTATAATCAAAATTATCACTCTGATTATTCTGCAACAAAATCAAAATTATAATCGATTAAAATACGATTTTTTTGAAAATTATAATTAAATTATAATTGATAGTAATAAGATTATCATCGATTAAAATTAGATGATAATCTTCGAAAAAATTTAGATTTTAATCAATTTACTCGACAACAAAAGGGCGGGTGTGAGTGTGGATGTAGATGTGGGTGAGGATGTGCATGAGAAAAAGAACAATGTTCACAGCCACAGCCACACTACCCCATACCCACACCCATACTCCACACCCCACACGCACACCCTCACACCCACACCCTGGTTGTGATAGAGTTTACAATAGATAATAAAAGAAAAATGAGAATGGAAGCGTTTTTTTTCTCTTTCTAAAATTCAAATCATAGTTTTTAATTATTTAGTTAGACTCCGATTTAATATTTAGGTCATAACTATACCGCTACCAGTCAAGTAGATGATCAACGTATGTATCTTTCGATTAATAATTGCTAACATATAAAATGCCAGAAAATAAAACAACCATCTTAACACATTATTATACTTGATCTTTTTTTGAACAAAAAAAATAAATCGATATGCTAGTTATATTTCTTATTAAATTTCTTTAGAAAAAAATCAACGCACTAGTACACAACAATCACAGATCGCCAATCGAATAATAAATACTATACCTTCGGAGTGTAAGTTATTTGAAAAATAAATAGTTCAATATATTTTTTTGTTTTAAATATTTTTAGCTCCTCCACCATATTCTGAAGCTATAAAAGGTTTACGTGATGTATAATTATATAACGATTTCTTATTAGAATACAGAAATTATTGTCGATTTATTAACATTAATTTGTAAAATTTTTTTTCATGAACGTTGATATATATATATATATATATTGTATCTCTACACCCAGGTTCACTCAAAATTTAATAACTACATGTAAACATATCTTTTTGCATTTCAGATTTTATTTTATTTTTGGACAAAATGCGAGATAATCACCTATTTAGATGGTTTTATATTCTATTCTTTATTTCATGTAAGATTAAAATAATAAATAAATGACAAAATTTTGTTTTTTTTTAAATTTACATTTATAGTTTTATTTTCATCATGTACCGATGGTAAAGGATTTGGTGGTGCACGAGGTGGAGGTGGTATAAGTGGAGGATCTTCTAATATGAAAAAAGGGTAAGTAATATAACCAAATTTTTTTTTTTATCTTTTGATTTTACTCGTTCCAGAAGTAGATTTAAAAGTAATGCTATGAGTTTTGGTGCTGGAGCATTAGGTGGTATAGCAGCATATTCTTTAATGAGATCGATGTCACATTCATATTATTCAAGACCTGGATATTATAATCCAGGTTATGGAAGTAAGTTTTTGTATATAGAGAATGGTTCCGAAAATTATGCAACCAGATTGATTTGCAATTTTTGTTTTTTTTCGTTGTTGTAAATGCTAAGAAGAATCCAAATATTGATATAAGTAGAAAATTCTATTTCCAAAGAGTTTTTGAAGATGAAATCAATTGCTAATTTTTTAATGAAAGGAACTTTAGAAAACTAAAAAACCAAAATTTTTAGCTTTGTATAATGTTTTGTCATCGAGATACATCAATCTTACCAATGACGCAATAGTCAGTTTTTTTTCGATATTTCTTATGAAAACACCATTTTTATGTATTTTGTAAGATTGATATGGTTCGATGAAAAATTAAATATTGTATAGACCTATTTTGTAGAAAATCATTTGCTCTATAATTTTTGCTAATTCAAAAAGAATTCCACTGGTGAACCCTAGTAGCTGCAAAACTTGCAATCATTTTTATCTTCGAAAATTCTCTATTCAAATCACTGTTTGTATTCTTCTTCTTACTGTTAACAGCAACCGGAGGAGAAAACCTGATCGAATAATTTCAAGAGACAATGTATACACATTAATAAGTTTTGTCTTTTTTTCTCTTTACTATTTATATAGCTGGAGAAACATGTGTAAATAATGAAAACATGAATGGTACACGATTTGGACAATTTCGTTGTCCATTAAATGGATTTCCAATAGAAGCAAAATATTGTTGTGGTGAATATGGAAAACAATATTGTTGTATTCGTGAAAGCAATAGGTTCGTTTTAATGAATAATAAAAAACAGAAAAACAAAAACTTTATTTTATCTTAAAAAAAAATTTATTTATTTAGTGCTGCGTTTCGTGGTGCTTCGAATTTTGGTTGGATACTTCTTCTTATAATAACAAGTAGTGTTCATCTTACGGATTCGCTGACCTTTTTCTGAAAGAGAATTTAGTATGATTATTATTAAATATAATTTCAATTTTGATTATACTATATCTTACAGTCTTCTTGATTGCATGAAACTAATCGAACACGGTTGGTTTTTAACTTGATGAATAAATGATCAATCACAACCATATAACTTATTTTTTTTGAAAAAACTAATCAAATTTAAAGAGTTTAAGCTAGTTGTGAAACAGAATATTCTCGAATTCTGTCATTTTGAAAACAATCTAGGTAAAGTAACCTTAATATAGTTGAAGAATCAAAAAATAGATGTTTTGAAAAATATTAACCGCCTTTCAATACTAGATTTCTCTAGAGCGAGCACCCTTAAATGATTCGCTAGACGTTTAAATGTTGTACCATCATCAGAAGCAGACCTCGAATTTCAGTTGCTTATTCTTGATTAAGTCTGATCAAGCTTATTACAGATATATGGTCATATTCAGTTGTTTGGGATGTCATATTTTCTTATCCTGAACTCTGACTTTCTTGAATAAAACGGAGAGACAAACATTTATGGCTTTTTAAGCGGGATATGTATTACTATATGACTGTTTCTTTAAGAAAACGAAATTAGATGTCGTTTAGATGTTTTCTTTTGTTCAGCGAGTACAGTAGCATGACCAAGTGACGACCACCCTAAATCAGAATAACTTGAAAAAAACATATTTTTTTCAAAATTATAAGATTCCGCATAGGGGTGTGGATATAGGTATGAGTGTGGGGTGTGGGGGTGGCTGTGGCCTTTCCTTCATCCACACCCGCACACCCGCACACCCACACCGACATACTCACATACCCACACATACACCCTTATTTTAATCAAAATGAAAGAAGGAGTTTATTAATTTGAGAGCATAACACATTATCACTACTTTCAATTACTATACTTCATAGCGTATTTCATTGTCCATTCTCTTGCTACTTCGTTATACTTTTTTTAATCTGTTTGATAAAGCTTCAGCGCACTTTTGTTAAGTCCATGTTCTGGATTCGGGTCTGTCAATAGAGAACATAGTGATATTAGAAGACCGCGTACAGTTAATGCTGGAGACCATTGAGAATGAAGTATATCCAAACAGATTTCACCTTTTTTGCTGATGTTTGGATGGAAAACTGGTGTGATAAAAAGAACCACGGGTGGTTTAAATGGAAATTCAACAGGAAAGTCAATTGTTAAGCGAAATTTGCCACCAGCATACGGAGAGCCTTGTGGTCCTTCAATCCAGCCAATCCAATGCATCATGTTTTTATCAGGATCTTCAGGCTCTGCGTAACATAATGGAGGTGGATTCTTCTGTATGTCACGAAAATGAATCGTAAGACGTTGTGCAAAAGCCATAGTACTTGTTTAACAATGATCTGCAACGAAAAAAAAAGGAAGTAAATCATAAGTGCGCCCATTTCATAAAGAAGAAATGTTATTAAGGAAGGAAATCATTAAGTGTCTTATGTCCACCAGAGATATCCGTCGTGGCTGAGAATCTGCCGCTGCCGCGACGCCACCGCCACAACGGCAGTGCAGTTATGGACATCTCTGGCCTCAACTCACGCAACGACAACCACACTTATTCATATCTAGTACTTTAGTTTTAACGCGCACATCGGTACGTGAAGACGCATCACTTTTATCGCAATTCGTAATTCGTTTTATTCAGTTTGCAAAAAAAAGTCATATAATGCGGGAAGTAAAGAATCGTTTCACTGAATATTTGCATAAGGTTCGAGAAGAAACCTGTTTATCCATTAACGTTGATCCAACGAAAGTAGCATTACAACCATCGATACGCGCAGTTTATTTAATTTTAAAGGTTTTTCCGTCATTAACTCTCATAATAATTTCTGACTGAAATTTTTCTTTCAGAAACTTCTTACGCTCTCCATTAAGATAATACCATTTTTTATATATGAATACCATGTATTGAAAAAAATCCCATGCAAATCATCACTCAGAGCCTAAATACAAAGCTTTTCTAGAACAAAAAAGTTTTCATTCAAAGATCTTACGTTCGTTGGAGTAATCTAAGTGTTTCACTATTCTATTGACGACAACAAATACCCTGCCGACCACTTTGGGTGACAACAGCTCACATGCTTATATACGTATGCTAAATTAATCACTTGCTTGGCAACATTATAAAGTTGGAAAAAACATTGTGCAAGTTTTGTTACCTATGCAACACAACCGTCTTGCACAAGAATGCAAAAAAGAAAAAAACTTGATTCATACCCTTTTCACACCTATTATATTACTTTTTCTCCCTTATCGGCAAGTAGTGATAGAAAAAAATGTCAATCCTTATATTGAGGTCTAGGTGTCTGTATGGAAGTGAATGTGGGTGTACGTGTGGGGTGTGGATGTGGGTGTCGGTATGGGTGTGGGTATGGGTGTAGGTGCGAGTGGGTGTAAGTGTGGGGCGTGTGGGTGTGAGGGTGGATGCCAGTGAATAACACAACTACTACGACCACTCACACCCACACCCAAACCCACTCAATCACACCTACACCCCACACCCATACCCACACCCCACACCCCACACGCACGCCGAGATCCACATCCACACGCACACCCACACCACACCCACACCCACACCCTTGTAATACAGTGAAAGTAGGAGAGATCCGCATAAACTAGTCTTTAAACTTACATTCACTATTTTCTTCGAAAATATATGCCAGCTTCGCTAGATAAAAAGGACATGAATAGGCAGCTCTCATCAAATGTATCGTTGTAGTCTCAATACGAACAAGTCTAACCGAGTTGTCTGAGTGATCAAGTTCAAGTAACAGAGGGTATTTGAAGAGTCTGGATTAGTTTGAATCAAAACTGACACTTGTTCCTTAAAAACAACTAGTTATGACTAGTACTAATGACTTTATGCTAGTCCACATTGCTATCGAAAACAATCGGTAGGTTATCATTTGCCCTAAATTGTGATTCCCTAAATTACTCCCTAAATAAGTTCCCTATTTGTGTCCCTAAATCAAAAAAGACTTTTTTGGTCACCAGAAATTTATTATTTGATTTAGGGACACAAATAGGAAACTCATTTAGGGAGTAATTTAGGGCAAATGATAATTATTCAAAACAATCTAGACTAAAAAGATATTCAATAAGATCTCAATCATAGTCGAAGAAAATATATCGCTGAGAATTTTGCTATAGGAAGTGTTTCATAAAATACCACTTCTATGTATGAAAATGTATTTCTTCTCGCATAAAGATATTAAGTAACTTTTCAAAGTAGACAGACAACTTCTAAAATTACTTTTAAAGTTTATTCAGTCGTTCTGATTCTGTAAATTGTTTCTTCGTAGGCAAGGGTGTGGGTGTGGGTGTGGGTGGGTGTAGGGTGTGGGCTTGGATGTAGGGTGTGAGTGTAGAGTATGGGTGTGGGTGTGGGTATCTTCTCTGCAGTTTAATCCACACCGACAACACCCAACCCCACACTCACAACACCCACACCCACACCCTCATCGTCAATTTTGAGGCGAATACTATTTTTACTTTCCAGATGAAGTTGAACAAGTTCATAATAAAACGAACGAACCTCCTTTACTTTGTTGCAAAGTTTTTAAAACTTTGATTGTGATTGGCTGTGAAATGTCCGATGATGAAATTTGACTACAGAACAAAACATCTTGATAGTGGAAGAGTTCTTTTATTGACAAAACAAAGAACTAACTTGGTTAATGTTTATGTCGTATGTTATCAGTCTTTTATCATTTCTTTATCTGCTAAAGAAGATCGTTATATGGCGACAACAACGGGCAAAAGATCTCGTGTTAAATGCAAAAAACCAAGAAAACGGGTAAAATCTGGTGAACGTTCTCTAACTTTTTGCTTTGATCACATCAATGAACATCGTAATGAATTAAGCAAACAATTAGGTAATTATTGACGATCAATTTAATGAGTTCAGAATTGAAATCGACTTTCGCGGAACTTGTCATGTTACAGAACTAATCCTATTAAATTCCATTGAAATGAAACATAGGATACTAAGCTTTTCTTCTATAATCTTCATTGTTGAGAGAGAAATAATGTGAAATAACGAAATAATTCTTGAGATTTACTTAAGATGATTGTTTTTATTGAAATTTCTGAAAACATTTTCTTAAACTACTTAGTTTTGATTCTTCAGTTTCTTCAAAATGTAAGAACAGTCACATACGGGAATCAAATATCTAAAAACTGTTTCACATTTTTTAAATACCAAAACGAAATGAGTCGATTTTGAACTAAATATAAGTAACAAGTCGTCGAAGAATGGATTCATCATAAAAGATTTTACAAATTCCGTTTGCTATGGAATTCGGTTCGACTGTGAAATTAACTATAATTAGGCACTTTGAGAGATAAAACAAAACTTGACAAATCTTGTTCACCTATATCGAAAAACAAATTGATTTCTTCAATGTTCGGCTTTCTCTTCGAAACACACGAAAATAAAGAATTGTGCGACATTAGATTTCTGATAAGTTTCATTGGACAAAAAAACCATATCGAAAAGTGATTCAATTTTGAGATGCAATTGCTCAAAAAAAAAACTAAAAAAAATGAGATTTTCTTCCTTTAGAATATTCACATGATGAACATTTCGAGACAATATCAGAAAAAGGTTTCAATTAGGAATTAAGAAGGATACGATGGATTTATTTTTTAAAAGTGAACGCGAAGAAAACAAAAATTTGAATCTTTAAAATATAAAAATGATTTGTTCATTTGCATTTTTCCGGTATGAAATCGAACGATGATGAAAACAACAATTGACGAATCTATTATTGATATTTGAAAGTTCATTTCCCAATATATTTCTGGGAGAGACAAGTTCAATTAGCTCTAATTAAAAGACTTTGCACAAGTAAATATATCTCCAGTAAGACTGTTCTTCCATCTCATCTACTATACTTCAATGCAGAATCACACATTGTCGAATCATTCGATTTCTCTTCATCTGTTTACCTAGTTGCATCCATTGATCATTTTTCTGAATTGTGAAACATTTAAAAGTTCTTCTTCATGTTTCACTTTGCCTTCTTATTTTGTTGTTAATGAATATTTCTAAAATTGCAGATAATTTCTCTCTGTCGATCGAAAAATACCTCGTCCGAACTACACGAAGATTGCATCTTTGACGATGAATAGTCGACACACTTAATATTGAGAGTGAAAATGGACACAATATATCCAGTTTCGAATGAACTACACATGACACAGAGTTGCATATTAAGAGTCTTCCCTAAGTGTTACATATTTGTATCACTCTTAGAGATTATTAATTGAAACACCACTTGGAAATGCCAATGATTGTCTTATAATGTATTTCGAATAAGTAGACAAATGATTCTTTTCACCTTTGATGATTTGAAAGTCATTCGCGTCCAAGCAATAATCAATCGGACTTGAAAGAATTCGAGGAAACTTACAAGATTATAGGAGATTTTTTGCGTTTCTGTTAAGCTAATCTGAACAATGACATAACTTGAGAGTTACTATTCAACGACAAGAAACAAGACTTTAGATAGTCGAATAGCACAGGTCAATTTTTCTTACTTTCAAAAGTGGCAATAAATTAAACCAAAAAAAAGAAACATGACGAAGAAGCTTTCTCAGATTGATATTCGTGAGAAAATAGAAGTTGGATTCTTTTCACTTCTGCCTGGTATTCAGTGAAAAGTGAAGTAATGAATTAATGTAAGACTTTGTTGTGAACTTTTCTGTATTCGAATGAATCATTGATCTTGAATTTTTCAAAAAAAATAGCCGGTTTTAGTTTTTCAAAACCGTTTTAACTATTTTGTTACATTTTAAATTTTTCATCTAATTGGCTTTTATGAAGATCGAACTAAATGAAACTTCATAAAGTGTTTCTTAAAGCGTTGATCGTTTGTTCTTCAAAAGAAAACTTTCTTATTACATTATTGAAATCATATCAATATTCTTAGCTTGAATTTCATTTTCACGAAAATGTTGATGACATTCAATTGATTGTCTTTGTTTCATAAATAGTTGAAGAGAAAAGTTCAACTAACTCTATTTTATACGAACATTGTCTAGAAAGTGTTTGCAGTAACAGAACAATTTTGATCAAAACTTAATAATAATTAGTTTTATCGTCTACAACTATTTCCAATCACTATCTACTTGTAAAACTAAGTACTGTTAAGTTTTATTCATTGATACCAATGATGAATCATGACGTTTTCTTATTAAGAATTCTTTAAAAGATGAAAAATCTTTCGATGATGTTAAGATAAAGAGAAAATTCAATATTTAATTTGTAGATTCGAATGTTGACATTCATCAAATATAGCTTTCAGGCCTTTTCTACATTCAAAATATTAAAACAATGAGACTACCATTGACATATTATTCAATATGATCATTGAGTAGAACTTCTCTTTCTTGATCAAAGGTTATTTAGTTCAAATATTGATTTTCATTCATGTACATTGACCCAATGTGATTGAACAAAATTGTCGTTTTTTTTAGCACCAGTAGTACCCAATGCAAGTCTGAATATGAGTACAAAGTGGATGCAGAATGGTATTACTGTGGCTGGAGGAAACGGGCAAGGAAGTGAGGTGCATCAACTCTCCAATCCATGGGGTTTATATGTTGATGATGATCAAACAATTTACATTGCGGACTTTTCGAATCATCGTATTGTGGCATGGAAATATGGTGAGACGACTGGTCGAATTGTGGCCGGTGGGAATGGACCAGGAAACAGACTTGATCAATTGAACGGGCCGTATGACGTTATGATCGATAAAGAAAGAGATAGTATTATCATTTGTGATTATAACAATAGAAGAGTAGTTCGATGGCCTCGTCAAAATGGTAGCAATGGAGAAACGATTGTCTCAAATGTTGGATGTTTGGGCTTGACAATGGATCATGATGGATTTCTCTATGTTTCTGATCGGGATAAACATGCTGTCAGACGATATCGAATAGGAGAAAATCAAGGAACAGTTGTTGCAGGTGCAAATGGGCAAGTGAATCGTCTCGATCAATTATCTCAACCGAGATACGTATCCGTTGATCGGGATCATTCAGTGTACGTATTCGACGATTCTAACCATCGTGTGATGAAGTGGATGAAAGATGCAAAACAAGGCATTGTTGTTGCTGGTACTCAAGATTCATCATATCCTTATGGAATCGTTGTAGATCAATCAGGTACTGTCTACGTAGCTGAATGTTTGAATCATCGGATAACACGTTGGTCTCAAGGAGCTACACAGGGAAGTGTCATTGTTGGTGGAAATGGTCAAGGAAGTCAATCGAATCAATTCTCTTCTCCTATCGGTTTGTCATTTGATCGAGAGGGCAATCTCTATGTGAGTGATAATGGAAATAACCGAGTACAAAAGTTCAACATTGATCAAAATTGATGATTTTTGAAAATTAACATTTCTTTTACGTTCTCATCATAGTCTTGAACAAGTTATCAAATCATAAAGTCATTACGAGTAGGATTATCTTGTATCACCTTGTAAATAATCACAAGGGTACGAATATGGGTGTGTGGATGTGTGGTGAGTGTGGGTGTAGGTGTGGATGTGAGACTTCTAGTCAATCATATCCACACCTACACTCTATTAGAAGAAAGACGAAAATCAGACTTTCGCAAGTCATTCACCTATTGGATTTCAAAATTCAATTCAATGTTACAATTAGATTTTGAAGTACAATAATCGGTTCGAATTTGAATTTTTTCACCTATTCAAAGAACGTTATGTTTAGCCAAATGATATCGAACTGCAGTTATTCGATAGTTATCGACGGTCAACATCACCTTGAAAGCTTAGAATTCTGATTTAAATCATAGCGAAAATTATTTTATTTTTTTATAGATGATCATTCTCAAGATTTTGTTTTTCATCTATAACTTTTTCAAAACAATGAGTAGAACAAGAAACAGAAAAAAGTGTCTTTGGACAAATATTGCTGTTTTTTACATGATTGTTTGATGCTAATTGAAAAATGACTTGAAGAATCATAATATTATAGAAATAGCCAAGCTTGTGGATGTGGGTGTGGAAAGAAAAACTGCACATACGCCCACATCCACACTTAAATCTGCCTCGATGTTGATCATAACTTGAGAAATAATCGAAGTTTACAATTACTTCATATATAATCATTTTAGAAGACGTAACTAGCAATCATGTGGTAGAAAAAGAAAAATGTCAAAAAATGAAGTCTGTTTTACAGTTTAATCAGCAGTTTGACTCTTAAAATAATCAGACAGATTGTATTGTCTAGTACCAGTAGGGAATAATTGTCCCATTAAATAAATTATTTTAATGTATATAAACATTCTTTTTTTATTTAAAATATTCATTTTGATTTGTATCGTGAATAAAATCTTTTTAAGAAGAAAAAAAATACAATAATTCATGTTCAAAATAATAATACAAAAATATTTTCTATGAGAAGAGGACGTGAGTGTGGGCTGGCAGAATGTAGGTTCGCACACGTACCTGCATCAACATCCTCTATGCAGTACAGGAATAACTAGGGTGGGTGTGAGTGTGGGGGTGTGTCGACGTGGGTGTGATGAAGAGAAGAACACCCACACCCACATCCACCCCACCCATCTATACCCACACCCACACCTGATGCACGCTCACATAGTACAGCTTTCAAAGCTCAACGAAAATGTGTTTTTAATTTATTCCTATGGTTTGACACCATAGAAACCTAAAGAGATATCAAGCAAAAAGCTAGGAAGTCATTTATCCTTGGGTACCGTTATTTTCTATTACTATGAGTGTGCTATGGAACCACAGGAAAATTGAACTGCTCTACTTTTATAATCGTTCGCTGTGATCGAAAAACACACGGCAAAGTTTCAGAGCTAGAGGTATTTCAATGAAACCATCCTTTCTCCAGATCTGTGTGCTTATTTTCTTTTTCTGAAGAATCTCTTATGATTTTGATCTTCATCCTAGGATTTTTGGATAACTCAAGCACTATACAACTTCATTATCCCACTTCGTCATTATGACTTGAAAATTTTCTAAATAATCATAACTACAGAGGCATTTTAGGAAGAACACGGTTTTTCCAAGGTCTACCGGCTCGAGTTTTGTTGATATCACAAGAAAGCCATTATATAATTAAAACTATTCTCTCTGAAGACAATATCCTAAACATATTCTTCACCAAAATTCAGGTGAAGAGAAATCCTTCTATGCAGATTTCCTGAAGCACTTATTTTCTGTCCAATATCATATATAATTTTCAATGAGGTCAAACCTTTTCGAATGGTAAAAGAATACAATTCTAAAACGGTTTTTTTCTACATTGGAACTCACAAAATGTATTAACAATTCTTACTACAAACGCTTCGTGAGAAACATGGCTCTATAGTGATGAATATCTCCTATTCATTTTATACAGAACTTCGGAGCATTTTCGTCGACAGGAAAATAGTTATTATGATGCGAAAAAAAATACTATACAAGCTTAGTGGTACTACTTAAGAATAGAAAAATCCGCTAGATACTCATGATAAAAAAGGCCTTCTGAGAAGAATACAATTTCAAAAGACTTATGTTTACTCGCTGTATTCGTACGAAATATTGTGTGCTGACGACAAGAATAACACTGTAATGTATCGACGTTTGTTCTATGCAAAAGATAAAAGCATTATGTTGCTTATATATACATCACTAAATAAGTTTGGCTTATGTGCAGTCATCCGTTTACATTAAATAACGCGTGATCATATATTATTGAGATTCCTAGGGTTTTTTCACATAAAAATATTACCTTTATTTTGCTTGTTCTATCACTCATCGATCGAACAGCTTAAAGAAAGAAAAGAGAGAGTGAATCGAAGATTGAAAAAATGTGCACTATATCATGGATTCACTTGATTTTTTCTCACCGTCATACAGGATTTAAAAAGTATTAGGACTTCACAATTATGTAAGGAAAGTTAGCAGTCAATTTAAGTTTTTTTTTAAATGATTCCTTCCATTTACTGAGCCACTTCAACGATACTGTGAGACAGATATAACTCGATGAGCTCGATCGAATGATGAACTCAGATTTTTGACGACAGTTGCTAGAAAAATATGAACCTTAAAAGTACGCTTTTTACTATAAATCATCATCGTCTTTTAAATATTTTAGACGATTAGTTTACAGTAAGTATGAAATTGTTTGCTTACAGCAATAGAGACGATTTGGTTACAATTGAAACAAAAGTTTGTACTTATAGTTCTACTATGAGCAAAATATATTACTTCGTGATATGCTTGGAGCTTATTCTCTATTACAAGTTATTCGAACGTTTAGTGTGATAAAATTTTTGACATAGAAAAGAATTTATTTATTTGTTGTGAATTTTTAACAACAATTTTTGTAAATTTATTTCGTCAGTATTTTTTGATTTTTTAACAATAAAAGTCAAAGGATGAATGTTTGATGTTTGAGAATGTTCTTTTGAAGATAGTATTTAATTACTTAATTTTCGACCAAACAATTCAATACCAACAAATCAAAAACAAATGAATAAAAATCAACAATTACAACACGATGATAATGATTATTATCAAGGATATAAACATTCACAAGCAGATGGGGTGTGGGTGTGTGTGTGTGTGTGGGTCAAGAGAATACCCTAACATTCACACTTAGACCTACACCTCACATTCACACCGCACACCCACACACACCCGCATCCCACACCCAACTGAATGATTTGAGTATAATAAATATAATGGAGAATTTTCTTCATAAGTATTTTCAATAAGTTTAATTGTATGATTCAACAGCTGATAATAATTCATTCTTTGAATAATGTTTATTACCCTCCGTTTTATATTCAATTGCTGTTAATGACATTTTTTATTTTTAATTAATCGTCAAATTTAATTCTAATATAAAATATAATATTCTAAATATAATTTAATATGATAAAAGATAAACGACTAATCCTTACTTACGAGATGTGTAATATGATTTAGCGATCTTTGATAGAAATTAATTGCTTTAATCTAAAGATTTTTTAATAAATGATTATATTCAACATTAGGAATCCATAGGAGAACTATAATTAGTTAATAATAAAAAATTATAAATTGGTTATAACTGTTCTTTGTCATTACACTTTCGATTCGACTATAATGTAGTAAAACTGAATGACCTAGTTTTTCTCCATCGAAAAAGTACATAAATTTTAGCATTTCCTGTTCGCGTAAAATCGTTTCTTTTTTTCTCGACTAAAACGAATAGATAATACGAATAACGAACGAACTAATAATGACGAAGTTATAAAGAATACTAAAAGATGCGAAAGAAACAAACGAATCTATGTAAGATGTCGCTAGTTAACAATCAAATTGAAACAAAAAATCTTTTCTATCGATATAATATCTGAGAAAACATTTACTTTAGATACCATCTAAATCGAAAAGTTCAATCAGCTGATTCAAATCGATTACATATAGTTAGAAACAAGATTATTGAAGAGGGTGTGGGGTGTGGGTGTGGTTGTAATTTGAAGTCTTCAAGGTCAACCATATCCACCCACACTCCACACCCTTCATGTTATTGCTGCTACTATATTTAATCGTTTCTTTATTCCTTTCATTGTTGCTATTTTAAGAGTTTTAGAAAATTGAAATAAAGCCATTAAGAAAAATAATAAAGATACATGAATAAATAGATAAGCCACTCGGTAATGATATTTTGGTGGATTGGTAAAAAATGATATTAATATAAACAATACCTATGGAAAACCAAGTATAATTGATATAACTACTAATATAACTGTATATTGAACCATTTTTAATTCCTTTTTTGCACGAAATAAAGTGGTTGCATGTATAACACGAGTACTCATTTGATGAATATATCGAATCAATTGAAAATAGATAAATGTAATAAATGAAGTAGGAATCCCATAGTTACGTAGTGACATATAAATTGTTGAAAAGGAAAATTCAAGATGTATTTGACACATTTGATTGTCAGCATCATAATGAATATCACCAATGAATACAACTGGCATTGGATGTAACGAAGCAAATATCCATGTTAAATAAATTATTAAAAATTGACATTGAATTGATTGAAAATATAAACGAGTTCGATAAATAGCCGTAAAATATCGATGAATAGCTTGTAATAACAATGAATTCATGAATAGAGCACCTGATACGTAAGTAATATATGCTCGAAAAATACATAATGAATCTTGAAATTGAATTTGTTTAAGATCATTTTTCAATGTATTTAAATACATACTCAACATACAACATCCAGACATCAATGCACTTAAACATGTATTGCCAATTAACATCATTGAAGCTGTATGGCAAATTTTATCAAGAGCCAAAACAAATAAAAGAACTGAAGAAAGTTCGATGATCAAACTATTACATATTATATTTAGAATATCAATTGGAATAAACCAATATTCGACGTTTAGTCTAGATGAATTCATATTAATTATCAGTAATGAAGGCAATACAGTTGAGTTTTATCTTTGACATAATCAAAAAATGAGAAGAGACATCTGAAATGAATAAATCTTGGCTTCGTCTATTAAGTAGACTACCTGTCATGTTTTAAACAATGAACAACTATTCTTAACACATCTATTGAAATGTACTCCTTTATTTTTTCTTCTTGTATTCTTACTGAAAAACTCTGAACAACATTAAAGAACATTATTTTTTTTACTACTTGAATATTTTCTGCTATTATACACTTAAAAGATTTTTTAATGCATTATGGCAAAATACTATTATTAAAAAATAACATCAAGATTGTTTTAATAAAGAAGACTTCGCGCATACTGATACCCTAGTCAATATCCTTATTTATATTCTTTTTAGATAATTGTTTCTTTTGCCTAAAAGTTCATTAAAAGTCTTGACTAGGGTGTGGGTGTCGGTATGAGTCTTCCTTTTGTAAATACTCATACCCACATCCACAATCGCATCCAAACCCACACCCTTCAATTGTGTAACGAATTACCTCTGTATGCCTTCGAAATCGAATGGAATTTTAAACTAACTTCGTTCTATCCAATTCATTTATCTAAACTTTCTGCCATAGACATTAATATTCTGCAGGATGAGATAGAGAAAATAGCAAAATGTTTGATAATTACCTTTCCATAACTTCTTATTGATAGTATGTGTCACAAAATGCATAGTAATTCTTAATCAAAATTATATAAACATGTGTATGAGAACTTTATTCCAAATTGTTAGAAGACCTCTTCATTCTATTCTATGATGATTCTAAACGAGTTGATTCTTTTTATTCAATAACAAATCTGGCACTATCACTAAAGAATGAAGAAAAAAAACAAACAAACAAGCAACAAAAAATGTTCATCTACACCTACACACAAAGACTAACAATTGATACATGTTGATTTTATGAATATTCACAGCCAATCTTGTTATCATATGCCGATATTAGTGTTACTAATCACATACGATGCTCACTACTTCGACAATGACGTCAACTGTATCAATTGTAGCCTAGGGTGAGGTTTACAACAAAATCTAATGTCTCTACGGTTATAACTATATAGTCAATTATCATTTCAATGTCTGCTAATTTTGCCATTGTTTGAGAAGCGTTGGCGTTTGCTGTTAATATTGGCTCATATAATGTTTCATACGTATAGATTTCATCGGTTTGTGCTGCATCTATCTTTTTTGTAGTTGTTTTTCCTTGAAGTATGTGAACTTTCTTAGTTGCTTCTTCGGCCTCTTTTACATCTTGAAGAGCAATTTCCATGGCCATCTTTGCTCTCATTAGTGCCTCTCTTTCTTGGACGATTGCTATAGCAAGCTCCTCATCTTCAATGACATCTGCATGTTCGTCAATAACGGTGATCGATTATGAACAACCATGAACTGACAACGATGTTGACAACACTCTGATCAGAAGTTGTTTCGTTTCGATTTGGAAGCCGTTGTTCTTCGGACTCAGCAAACACTTTTGGTTTGCAAGTCCATTCATCATCTTTTATATTACATGATACTAACGAAAAAAAAGAAATTTTGTTTGTATTTAAATTTAAATGAAAATATTATTAATTCTCTAGATATGGCAGTTCAAAAATAGTGTTTACAAAATCAGAATATTACATAGAAAGTTCGTTTTAGATGTCTTCTCGTCTGTATTTTCTAGATTTAGCTGTATTTTCTCCTTTATTTGTATGATGTATGTTATTAGCTGATGTGGTTATATAAACGATGTTGACTGAAAATCATGCATATTGGCTTTAGATAAATGGAAACTTTTTTACTTTTTAAACTAAACATCTCATTGTACATTAGAACAGTTTGCCAAAATGATTTCATCAAGTATGAAAAGGTGATCGAAAATGAATCACCTCCTAGTCCAGATGTACACAACAGCATGTTCAACAATATTGATAGGACTCTACTTCTTATTGATTATGAATCTGCAGGTAACTAAATTTTCAAGTGGTTGTATATTGAAGGTGTTCGCTTGTGTTCAACGCATTGAACAAGTCCGAATACATGCACAAAATGTCACTAAGTAACATGAAAATCGAGTGGCTTAGAAAGAAACAGCGATTGATGCTTTTATCGACACACAAGTGAGTGAAGTTCCTAGAAGTCTGTGTACAAACACTATTGTTACTGTTACAATCTATTAGATGAGACGAAGACAATCTATCGATCATTCATTAGATATTGAATGTAGTTGGCAAGGTCTCATCAATGACATCTAGAAAGAACGCGATCAACAGTTTCTATTAGGTAGTCATTTGAAATTCAACACAGTTTTGTGAGATTACATATTAGTGAAAATATTTCGGTGCATCTCACATGAAAAGCTATTACGATAGCACTACAATGACTATATTTTCAAAAGCGTGCACTCTGCACTTTTCGTTCTTCGATTCTGTGAAACACGTTGTTACAGTTTGAAACGGCTTGAAATCGATTATAGCGTAACGTAATTATCATCATAAAAGCTTTTCAATGAAGACAACAACCGAAAACTTTCGATCAATGGAGTCAACAGTTAGAATTATTTATGAATGACTATGGTGAGTACTGGGATTAGGCCGTAAAAAACTTAAATGATCGATTCAGGAAATTCTTATCTTATGCATGGTGATTACTTTGAGACTGACACTGAAAAGTTTATATTTACCGATTTTAACTATAAATGCTCGTCCACGCCAATAGGTTGCTTCACTGTTTTCCGGCTGAGTTGGCAGATCACGCAAGCTGCCTGCATCTTCTGGATTTAATAAAACAATGGCCGGTATTCTCATTCGAATGCGTTCGCTTCCTTTGAATTTATCGGTAGCCTCGAATTTCATGAAAAACATGTCAAAAGTTTACTCCAAAAATATTGTTTACAAAAAGAAAGATTACCTAGATATCTTCATTGCAAGTAAGTAAACTTTTCTTTGATGGAAAATAAAATTCAGCGAATTTATCCCACGGTACATCGTCAACAACCGAATACCGAGTCTCTTGCCTAAATTCGAAACAAGAAAAGCCACCACTATGTAAAAAGAGAGATCATTTATCATTCTATTTTTTCACATACCGATTCCACTTCTAACGAGAATTATAAAACATTTAGAACCATTGCCATTCGTGAAATGATGTCGGAGCCAATAGTTGATAGCTCAGTCTGTTAAAAGAAAAGTAGTTTGAAAACAAGAACAAGAACAAAGCAAAACGAATGCTTTTGTAAAAATCATATTTAACCTCTAAACGTCTATCTGGGGTCCACCCAGACCTCAACCGAACTTGTTCCAAAGCTGTATGCATATAAAGTTAGATCGAACCAAGCCTTTCTAAATATGCTATGCCGAGGTGCAGTACAGTATGATACTCATGTCGGTCGTTCATCATTCTTTGTTATTTTTCTGAATAATTACGATGAAATAGAACTAAACTCTTATTGCCTAGCTAAGATCGGTCCAGACCCCAATCTATCTTTCTACTGTATGCTCATTATACAAGGGTAGAATTGTATTTATTTGCTTAGTCGCTCTCTCTCTCTCTTCATTTGTTTAGGAACATTCCAGAAGTTTCTTGTCACACTTAGCATGTATAACTAATTTAAGAATGTTAGACTCGACGTATTGAATTAGTTTCAAAAGTATACTATCACTAAGTCCATTGATCTACCATAGTACTAGCTACAAGCTGTAAAGGTCTCAAATAGTGTAGCACTTACTAAAAGTATTCTATCTATTTTACTATCATGGAGTCTGTGTGGATCCACAGTGAACAATAAGTAGTTGTTCTGAAATTAGGCTTTTCAAGGTTAAAATAAATCAATACGTACGTATTCTTTGTGTACAATCAGGAAAAGAGTCTGGCCAACAATATTGCTTTATCAATTTTCTCTTTTCCGATTCTAGGAATCGTCCTAGTTCGATAACAGCACGACAACGACTACCCATTCTTAAAGTAAGCAGCAAAGTATATACAGTGCGTTTTTAAAAGGATATAATCTTATCATAAGAAGCTACGAACTTTTTAGGATTCATAAAATATTCCACTGGTGCCTTGTCTTGTATGTGCTTCAGAGCATCACATTGACTTTTTTCTGTCATTGGAATAAGTTTCGAAGCCATAGCATCATCAACTTTTTGCTTGTTTAGCTATAAATAGAACATATAAGACCATATTGGTTTTACGTATACCTTACCGGGACACGGAGATTCGTTGCTGTTTCTGTGCCACTTAAGAGCAACTTTCCAGGTTATTAGTTTTGGATGAGATGGGCTCTCGAATGAACCATATTCGATATACTGACCTCCTAAAATATTTATATCAAGAAAACAATGTTAATTTTGTATCGCTCATGTTGACCGATAGGCATTGTTTCGTTTTTGTCAATGAAAATACTCACCTTTTTTGATATATTCATTCCATGGCATATCTTTATTTGTTACGCGATATTGCCATCGAGTTGCTATTTCAAAATGAAAGAAAGAAAAAACAAATTAACAAGGATAGTTGACAAGAGTTTTTTACTAACAATATTCATTCAACTTACACGTATAAATGTCTAAAAACCTGTCCGATTTGTCCACGTTGTTTCTGAAAATGACTTGTACATTTAGCCGTTGTTTTCCCTCATCCATTTCGGATCCAATACAAATGTACTTAACCCGTTGTTCTTGTATTTCGTAAGAGAAATACTTCTCAATAGTCGACAATATTTCTTCCTCTTAAAAGAAGAAAATGAAACCAGACATTTAATAAATATCTCCAGAATACATATGTTCTGTTTGTTGATTTTTTTACCATCGCTTGTGACGACAGATAAACATTTAATAATGTCATCATATTCAGGTTCAATCATATCTGTGTTTGATAGTATATTACGTTTATAATAGATTCTATTCAATGCTGGATAGGAATTCTCGTTCTTGATATTGTGTGACAGAGCTGTGCAAATATCTGGATTTACATA